ATGTGACCGTTAACAGCGGTGGATTTAAAACGAGCTGCGTTACCTGCCTGCCTGCTGCTCTCTCTCTCTCTCTAGTCTGAGTAGTCTCCAGTCTCTCCACCCCGCAGACACAGAAATGGATTGAGGTACTCCGCACTTCCGCAGCCGTTCTGAGTAACTTTCTTTCATCAACTGTCTCTGCATCTGCATGTAATTAGCCCTATACATGAAGAATGATCTAGAAGGTGAAGGTTAAATTAGCCCTAAGGAGCACCGAAGAAAGACATGGGATGCGCTCAATCGAGATTGGACAACGATGAATCGGTATCCAGATGCAAGGAGAGGAGGAATCAGATGAAGCAAGCCGTTTTACTGAGGAACACCTTTGCTTCCGCTCACTCCGCCTACGCCATGGCTCTTAAGAACACAGGCGCCGCCTTGAGCGACTTCGCCCAGGGCGAAGTTCCCCCTCCGGACCAGGACGTCGCCGCCCTTAACAACACGGCTTCCCAGCCACCGCCTCCCCCTCCGCCGCTTATCATTGAGAGGACTCCCCTCCCTCCGCCTCCCCCGCCCTTACCCAACTTCTCCCCTCTCACGCCCTTGCAGCGGTCTATAACTATGCCGGAGCTTTCTAAGCGTGGGGACAAGATGAAGAGCATCTCCATTGGCGAAGATGAGGAAGACGATGAAGGTGTTGGTGGGTTGAAGCTGAGGAATCATCATCTAAACCGGGTGGTCATACCTGATAGAAATGAAGAGGAGCACACTCCAGTTAAAGTTACAGATCCACCCCCTCCTCAACCTCTTGGCTTAGCTTGGGATTACTTTTATATGACCGATAATATGCCCACAACAGCCCTAAATGAAGAGGATGAGGATGGAGATGGTGATGATAGCCCTGTCACTCCAATAACTGAGAATCTTGGTGGGGATGACAGGGTAGAGGGTGAAGAATTCAAGACACCGGAGAAAGGATTAATGGAGGGGACACCACCGGTGATGGGGAGGCAGAAAAACTTTGTTCATTCTAAGACCGCACCTCCAAGAATTGTAGAATTGGTTGATAGTGATAAAGCAGCTAGTGCAAATAGTGCAGATTTCTATAAGGTTTTCACTGTGATAGATGATCATTTCCTCAAGGCTTCAGAGCTTGTTCAAGAGGTATCAATGATGCTAGAGGCTGCTACGCTGCATTACCACTCCAACTTCACAGAGAAAGGTAATATACTCTACCATATTAATATTGATGATCCTGTTTGTAAGTAAGCTCTAGTTCTGGTTAAAGACTGGTCTTGATACGATGCTGGAATTGTACTGAAGCTTTTACTGGCCTTAGGAAAACCATTTGTAGAATAAGGATCAGTTTGGATTGTAGTCTCCTCGACTATCATAATATTGCTTCAATCATTATAAAATCTCAAATGGTCTTCCAGACTTAGCCCTCCAAACCCTTTTTTCAAAATATGACCCTAGTGATGGTCCTTTATTGAACATCAATGTTCCTCTTTTACAGCCAATATAGATCATGCTTCAAGGGTAATGCAGATCATCACATGGAACAAATCTGTCAATGGAGAGTCAAACAGTGATGGTGCAAAGGAAAATCAGGATGGTCGTGCATTTGAGACTCATGCCACTGTTTTGGATAAGTTGCTGGCTTGGGAGAAGAAACTATATGAGGAACTAAAGGTGGATTTGCATGCACAACTTTATTGGTTTCCTGGAGATGGTTTTCGTTTAAATCCCCTAAATCGATGATTATGCATGTTTATTTACCTAAAGTACAAACATAATATTTTTTCTATGTGCTAAAAACTAGATAGTATATCCTTCAATTAACAAAGACTAAGATACTCAAACAAGCCCTTTTCCTGGAGAGGGAGGGAACGCCCAGAAGGGAAAAATTGTTATTGCAAAACGCAGTAAATTATCTGTCATTATAAATATCAAAACACTGTTGTTATTTATATAGGTAACTGACATTTGCCAATCGTTGATTGATCAATTTTGATAGGCTGGTGAGATTATTAAGCATGAATATCAAAGGAAAGTTGCTATTCTAAACAAGCTGAAAAAACGCAGTGCTAGTTCTGAATCACTGGAGAAGGTGAAAGCTGCTGTCAGCCATTTGTATACACGTTTTATAGTTGAAATGCAATCTTTGGATTCAACAGTCATGGAAGTGAATGATATTCGTGACAAGCAGTTGTACCCGAAGCTGGCTGATCTTGTCCTCGGGTATGTTTTTATGTACATCATTCACAAATGGTGATTTAAGTAAACTGATCTTAGTCACTGGCTGATATTGTCCTTGTGTCCTGGCTGATCTAAATTACTGGTGATTTTTTTAAATAAAATCTTGATTACATTTTTTGCTAGATTTCCAACTTAGTAAATCACAATTGAAACATAAAGATATCCCAGATTCCCAGTCCAGTCTTCCACTCTACTTAGGGTAAGTTTGGATAACATAAAGTGCTAGGGAGATGCCAAAGAAAGTTATTTTCGTATGTTAGGTTTTACCTTGGCAATAAAAAAGAACAGTTATGATTAGTTTTTGATTTTTTTTAAAAAAAATAAATTTAGGGAGAACTATCACATAAACCCTCAAACTTTCATAAAAAGTGCAAATAAGCCCTTTTATAGGAGGCTCTGTCTGGCCGTCGCCATTTGGGGTGGTTTCCGGTGGAATTTTTTGATGAAATGTTTTTAGCATCTTCTTCATTAAGTCTAGTTTACTCATACCAAATTTCAGCTAAACATTCAATCGGGAAGACAGTCAAATGAATCTTCGAAGATAACTGCGCGATGAGGCAGCGCAGTATGTTTCAGAAAATCATTTGATGATTTTTGACTGCCTTCTCGATTAAATCTTTAGCTGAAATTTGGTATGAATAAACTAGACGTAATGAAGAAGATGCTAAAAAAAATTCATCAAAAAATTCCACCGGAAACCGCCCCAAATGGCGACAGCCGGGCAAATCCTCCTGTAAAAGGGCTTATTTGCACTTTTAATGAAAGTTCGAGGACTTATTTGATAGTTCTTCCTTAAATTTACTATACCTTATGATAGGGATAAACAAATAAAATGAGCATAAAAAATATCAAAGGGCCTCTTTTCGTAAGAGTTATTTTGATGAAATGGCTGAATTTGCTAAAAACTATTAAAGGATGTGAGTTAGATAAAATCGATTTCATAAGTAAGTCATTGTTCTCATTATTTAGCTTTTTCTTTTAGTAAGCAGAATAAATTGGACTTAATTATACTAGATTGGACTTAAAATGAATACATTTAGTTGAAGCCTAACTTTTCATATTCCCCAACATACTCCATCCTTTTAAGTTTTGCCTGTGATCCTTCCACCAACAGTTTTTCTAGAGTCCAAAGGAACCTAAACGCTGTAATGATCAGAGATGACCGTCAATGTGGTATTTGCAGGATGGCCAAGATGTGGGGATCTATGTGTAAACACCATGAAGAACAGATGAGAATAGTTATGGACCTCACAACCATTGACATCTCTGCCACCCCCATAGGAACAACCAAACATCACCAGGAGCGCACCATCCAACTAGGTGATGTGATTAAGGAGTGGCATGACCACTTTGAAAACCTCGTGAATAACCAAAAAAACTACATCCAAACCATCAGCAAGTGGTTAAAACTAAACCTTGTCCCGGTCGAAAGTGGCCTGAAGGAAAAGACAACACCATCTCCACCCAGACCTGAAAACCCGCCCATCCAAACGCTCCTCCAAGCCTGGAATGAGCTTCTCGAGAAAATCCCTGATGAGCACTCCAAAAGTGCGATTACCACTTTTGAAGCTGTGATAAGGACAATCATTCTTCACCAGGAGGATGAAATGAAGTTGAAGGACAAGTGTGAAGAAACAAGAAAAGAGTACATGCGTAAAAGTCAGTCGTTTCAAGAATGGTGTCAGAAGCACATGCAGCAGCAGCATAGGGCCCCACGGGAGGATGAGGCGGACCCTGTTTCAGAGAGGCAGTTTATGGTGGAGAGCTTGAAGAAAAGGTTGGATGAGGAAACGGAAGCTTATCAGAAGCAATGTGTCCAAGTTAGGGAGAAATCTTTGGGAGGTCTGAAGATTCAATTGCCTGAACTTTTCCGGGCCGTGAGGGATTATTCACACATGTGCTTCATTGCTTATGAAAGATTGAGATTGCTAGTGGAATCACAGAACAACAATCCAATTCAGGAGAGTCCGTAGGATTGTATTCTTGCAGTATTTTTCTATAAAACTTGTATGAAATGGTTATTCATATTTATCTTTCAAAAGCTTTAGCAAGATAAAAATTAATCACAGAACAACAATCCAATTCAGGAGAGTCCGTAGGATTGTATTCTTGCAGTATTTTTCTATAAAACTTGGTATGAAATGGTTATTCATATTTATCTTTCAAAAGCTTTAGCAAGATAAAATTATGTTGATAAATTAGCAAAGCACACCTAGTGGTGTATGTGGTTCACTTTTGGGTACGTAGAAAAAAACTAATGTGTGTACACGATACATCGAGTGAGATGCAGTTGAGGAATCGTATACCTCTATCGAACAAAATAGGTCCAGAGCTATCAGATGGGCTTGATAGGGTTAATCACACCAAATGGGATGGCTGCCAATTGTTAAAGAGTTATTGGCCAAAGAACACTGAGTCCCAGATGCGGATAATTGAGCATGCATGTACTAACGAGTAACTAGAGAAGCCTGTAATACCAGTTTTTTATTCGTGCTTCTAGATTAGGGATGGACTCGGGCCGGGTGGCCCGACCCGGAACCGGCCCGGGACCGGTACTGTTCCGGCCCGGCCCGACCCGGTGGCCCGGTCAGTGACCGGTCCGGGTAGGTCCGGCCCGTGGGTTTTCCGGTCCGGGCTCGGGTCACCCAAAACAAGGCCCGACCCGGCCGGGCCCAGGCCCGGTTCGGGCCAAAAACTATTTTTTTTTGCAATTTTTTTTAAATTTTCGGGTTGGGCTGGGTATTTTGGGCCATTTGGGGTGGTTTGGGGGGTTGGGGGTGGGAGGGGGTTTAATTAGGAAGAGGAAAACAAAAAAAAATGATAATGGGCCCGGCTCGGCCCGGACCCGGACCGGACCCGGTGGTTACTCGGGCCGGTCCCGGGTCCACCATTTCTGAACCGCCGGCCCGCCCGGGCCTAGGCCCGATCCGGACCCGGCCCGGACCCGAGTCCATCCCTATTCTAGATGAGTTCAGAAGAAAAACACGGCAGGCCATGCCAGTTATGTTCTTAGGTCAGCAAAACCCGTATGACCGGAGCACCGTATACCGGTATACATATTTCTTTATTTTTTTCCTTTTGTTTTTAAAAAATGGTAATAAATTTTTTGTTTTTGATCCGATTTTTATAAAATTTATATCAACATTTTTTATTTTTCATGATCTTTCAAATGAGACCAATATTGCGTATGTAATTTTAAGAAATTATCGAACTATTATATTAATGAGTATTGGATTATAAGGAAAATCGAACTAAATTTAATATAGAAAAATAATTGTGTAAATCACAATTTATCTTAAAATTGTGTATATAAACAAATTATTTTATTATGTATTTATACATGTGCCCACCGTAGGTGGGAGCCTTTTCAGCACTGGGGTAAATGAAAATGAAAATGATGATGTATTTATACATGTGAGTTACATATTTTTATATGTGGGTGTTTTGTTATTGGCCTATCAGCCAATTTTTGACTGTTTTGACCATTAATTGGCTTTTTGACCATTTCAAACAGCTATTTAGGTGTTTGGTTAATCAGCTTTTCCTATTGGCTTTTTATGTCGATCAGCCAAAAATCAAAACTCTACTAAACTTAGCTTTTTGCTTTCGGCTGTTTCACTTTGTTCTCTAAAATACAGATTTAGCCTTATCTAAATCACAGCTCTCGGATATAAATCATACTCTGTAGCTCCTATATTCAGTTTACGTGCATTGCAACTTCAATTGTTCCAAATTGAAAATTCACTTTTGTTAATGAAAGGACAATTCACTTCCATCTCTAAAAGCATGAAGACCCACTTTTGTTAACAAGTTTTTTAATGTATAAATACACTAATAAATGTATAAGCGACGACATTAACAAAATTTAGCAATATATGAACAAAATACATTGCAATCAATATTATTCATTTTTATTACTTTTTATTACTTTAATGAATGCAAATAATTTAGGATAATATATTAAAATCATATCATTAACCAGTAGAAAGCTAAAATAGTTAAATAAACTAAAAACATTTCATCTCGTTGTTTGTGGCGACATAAATATTTGTATTTTTTTTCATTTTTGTTACACAACTTCTCTTGGTATATTTTTACTTTTAACTCCATTTATTAATCAAAATATCGTCATACTAATAAAATTTATTAACCCGTGAAATGTAATTGCTATAGAAATTATTACTTGTGTTAATACTTTTTTATTTTTTTAGATAATTAAAACGGTTTAAGTAGTTGTACTAATTACAGTAAAAATAATAATTGATGTCCTTAAAAGTCATTTAACAAGTTACCAGCTGATTATAAACAGCCATTTAACCAAACACTATTTTACAAACTGCTAATCCTATCGGCTAATCAAAACAGCCAACCAGCTAACACAATCAGCCAACAACCAACAGCCAATTGCCAAACACCCCCTACGTAAAGTTACATATTTGTACACATAAAGTTGCATATTTATGCACACGAGTTGCATTTGGCCTGCTTGAACGCGAGTTACATATTTTTACACGTAAAGTTACATATTTTTACACGTAAAGTTACATATTTATACACGCGAGTTACATATTTATACACACGAGTTGTATTTGACCTGTCTGAACGTAAGTTACATATTTTCACACGTAAAGTTACATATTTTTACACGTAGAGTTACATATTTATACACACGCGTTGCATTTGACCTGAATGGACGTGAGTTACATATTTCTACACGTAAAATTACATATTTTACATAGGTTAATATAATAGTTCAATAATATGTTAAAATTACATAGACAACATTGATCTCATTTGAAAGATCATGAAAAATAAAAAATGTTGATATAAATTTTATAAAAATCGGATCAAAAATAAAAAAAGTTATTACCATTTAAAAAAAAAAGTAAAAAATAATACCCAATGCCTAAAACCGTATGACGGTATACAGTGCTCACCGTATACCGGTGATACGGTATAACAACCGAGTTTGGCCCAATTCCGGATCAAAATCAGAAAGCCAATTCAGTCACGAGTGGAAAGACACACCAGCAGTGGTGGAGCCACTCATGTTCAAAGGTGTTCACACGAACCAAAATTTTTGAAAAACATGTAGGTATATATGTGTGAATTCGGTATAATTATTTATTACTCTTTAAATTTGTAATTGTAAAAAAGCATTGAACACCAAAGCCTAATTTCCAAATCCGCCACTGCACGCCAGTTCACCCTTAGTAGTAAAACAGTTAGATCTGTGTTAAAAACTAACCTGAGTGTTTGTTTTCCTCTTAAATTTTACACTAATAGGGAGCACATAGTAGCTTAAAACTTAATAGGCAGGCCCATTGTCATGCTGTTCACGTCTTCACTCTGTAACATTGACATATGGGGAGCACATTGGAACTGATTTTGGAACTGCACTGTCTAGGCTGAAATAAATGTGAGGAAGGCACGAGACTAACATAAAAGCTTGAGAGGGATGGGACTTCCATTCAACTTATGAAGTGTGTGCAGGTGTGTGCACGTATATCATTCTACACCAATTTTTTCCATACTCCTTGAGCAGCAAGTTATGGAAAAACATCATGCTGGAGCTGGTTTACAAGCAACTTCTCCTTGGCCTTGATTCTTCAATTCATTTCCCGCCACCAGAAAATATGCAGTGTGCCTAAAAGCATACACAGTAGTGTGAGCTTGCATAAGAAACAACGAAGAGTGAAAACAACAAGACTAAGTTTGTGCACCTGAAAAAATTCATCATTTTGGACTTGGAGTCATTGTCAATATTCGCAGTACTGTTTAATGCTTGTTGCATATGATGCAGCCATCTCTCTGCAGCTTTCTGAGTCACTGGAAATGGACGATGTCGGCCAATCAAGGCAGGGTGACCTGTAGAAGAAAATAGTTACTAGTACTTAATCATGCATGCGGTGTTATTAAAACTGGGTCATTTGTCAGATTGGTGTGCAACTGCATCAGTTGTGTTTCTTGATTTGTCTCCAAAAAAATGTCTACTTTGGTCAAACGAGGTTAAGTTAGCCAAACAAAATTCTCGAGCAAGTTGCATATGATAAATTTAATTAAGCAGATAAACAAACTTAGACAAATAAATTTCTGAAAAATACAAGTATGATTCATTATTTATAAAGGTTGTATCTTCCCAAAACTCAAAATGTGTACACTCATCAAATCTGAATCTTTTTGGGGGGTAGAGGTACACCATTAGATTTTGGGAATCCAAACAATGTGTACGGTGTCACCAAACTCAGTGCGTATTTGAACAATGTGTAAGGTGTCATCAACTGGTAGCCTTTCTCGCTGACTATGACTTGAGATCGAACCAATAAATTTTCTGGTCTTCACTATGACTCTGTGGGTTATAACAATCTACGAACAATTGAATACTTCCTCAGATTCCAGAGGCTTTTCACAGTACAAGGCATACTCTTACATGATATATTTTGCCCTTTACCCACTCTGTGGGCATTTTCAAGTTTTTAAAAATTTTTATACTCCATAATTAATTTAATTTAATTTTTCAATGCAAAGTCATAAGCACCAGCAATAATGAAGAAAAAGTAGAAATAGATAATGAAAGGGAAAGACATAGTTTTGATGAGTTCTTTTTTACCTCTCCTCCCGGAAAACAAAGGCGGTCCTCCCATCCTCTGCACAAAGAACTCATACTGGTTCCTAATGGCATCTTCTTTGGTTGAGTTTGCAAATATCGCGCGAAACCACTCCTCCTCGTCATCAAAAACCCTAGTTCCGAATAACAAACGGATCAAATTAATAAAACCGTGGTTTTGGTTTAGGGATTGGCGAGTGGGGATAAAGGGAATTATAAAAAAAAACCTGGTGTAGAAATTGGTTGAGAGATTGACAAAGGTGTCGAGGCCGAGCTTCTGGAAGATATTGGTCTCGTCAATGGCGAAAGCTTCGGTGGTGCTCACCCCACTCCACTCTGATGCCTTCTCTTGCAATGTCTGCATTCTTCTTCCCCCTCCCTCTCCTCCTATCAGACGCCGACGATCTTCAGCTATTTTTCATTTATCTTTTTCTTTATATTATTAATTAAACCAATTTGAGTATCACCAAATCAATGTCTTTATCGTACCAGCGAGTGAGTGTACGGTGATCACCGTAAATCCGGTATCATTTTAGTAATTTAATTGAAAAAATCACGGCTACCGCTAAATGAACATAAGTGTACGCTTAGTGAGCATTTGATCTATTTTATTGAGTATTAGAAGCCTAACAATGAGTATCACGATCTCTGCTTCATATTTTGTAGTTTAATTTTTGTTTTTTGTTTTATCTTTTATAAAAACTTATTAAATTATATCAATAATTCATTCATATGAATTTCAATATGTGAATCTGTTGAGTTTATTCACCGCAGCCCGGAAGTCCAACACCTCTTCCGGGAGGGTTTCGTAGTATGTCAATGATAACCAAATATAAACAATGAATTTAACGTGGAAACCCGAAAGGAGAAAATCACGTGACTTTTTAGACTAATGTCCAAACCCTCTCCTTCTCATTAATCTCTCCTCACCATTACAATGTACAAGTTTGAGCCTTGGTAGCCATTAATGGAGCTCCAAGCTTTAGAGAGAAGTGGGGTGTGGGGAAGAAGAGAAAAGTCCCTAAACATGGTAGGAAAGCCTCTATTTATAGAAAAAGGGGGGATGGTGCAAAGCAACCCTAATGGGCCGAGTGGGCCGAAATGGGCCCAAAGGCCCGAAATAGGCCGTATAGGCTGAAATGGCTCTCATCGATTGAGCTCCGTACTGGGGCTATGCGTTGTGCTCCTGCACAGTAACAGACCGTGATAATATATCCCAACAGAATCTAATGTAATATGTTACTTTTGAAATATGCATTGATATGACATTTTAAAAATGAGCATATAATCAGTACCAAATGATCATACATAAATTACAAAGTGCGTATTGATATGGAAATCATAAGGTTTGTTAGTTGAACATCACGACATTTTCATTGAGCATCAAACGTCCTCTATTGAGAATGAAAATCATGGTTTCTGTTTGATGGAGTTTAATCCAACTACGAGAGCTATATCTACGAGAGCAGATAAAAATATGGCAGCGTAAGGCAGTATTCTATTATCCGGAGTTCGATCCATTCATAGGAAGTTTACAAGAAGTATTTATAGACTAAAGGAACTAGTATTCTAGGATGAAACTGATGCAATAAATGCTGTTAATTGTACATTAGTTCGAGTAGGACTCTTGTAACGTTTTTCCCGTTGTGTAGTGATTGTTCCCTTAAGTCCACGTTCCTTCCGTTTATCCCTGCCTGCTGCCAAATAGCTATGCACTAATGATAGCCTGCCACGTAAGCCCTAGGAATATCCTAACTTGGGGTCATGGCAATGGGTCAGGGCGGGGCGGGTATTGCAAGACCTAGACCCACCCCGTGACTTGACAGGGCGGGTCCGCCCGCCCCGTGACCTGCACGGGTCCAAACTTGTTGACCCATGAACCGCCCCATGCGGAGCGGGTCCGCCCCGCCCCGCCCCGTCGTAACCTAATTAGCTAGTATGTATTTTTATTTGTGAGAAGTTGTTACCAATTGAATCTACATAAAGTTTATCTTTAAATAATTATTAAAAAATAATATATTAAATCAAATTCACGATACGCTAGAAATTTCAAAAGTTAAGGAAAAATCACTTAGACTTGAATAATTAATCTATTTAATTATATCAATACTTGAATATATGTATTAAAATGCTATATATAAAGAAGACATTGATAATCCGTCGTTCATCTCAATCTAATATATATATTGATATATTATAAGATCAAAGAATTTATGATTTATTGTATACACACATATTATGTTGAAGTATATTTAATTTGTAGTATAATTTAAGAAAAATGTTAGTACCCAATTTTGATAGATTTTGACGATGTCACTATACCAAGCACATGCACATTGTTCTCAATTTCAAGGAAAATAAATGTAACAATTCTTAAGACTACAAATTGCCAAAAGAAATAAAACTAAGGTAATTTTTATTTACCTTAAAAGGATATTTTTATCCTAACAGCAAACGTTGAAAGTCGCAAGAATAATCTCTAAAGTCACAAAATAGGTTGCGTACTTTAAAATACTGCTTGAATAATTAAAAGACCAGAAGTGACGAGCTATTTAATGCCCGAAACACGTACATGGACCCATAGCATGGGCGGAGACGTAGGACTGCAGCAGCTATTCAAGCAAAGACAAAAGCTCCAGCGTAAGAAGACAAACGACCACAGGTTATCTTCTGCGATACAAGGATTCAACGCACAAGATTGGTCTATCCTAACCAACGGATGGGATCAATTAACCGGAGAGCCTATAAATATAGGCTGAAACAAAAGTTTCTAATTAAGCTTGAGAATTCTGAGTAGAGAAATATTACATTGAGCATTTACGAGATATATAGCAAAAGAGAAAGTGTTATTCCATACTTTACTCTCTGCTTAGACTCTTGCTTCTCTAAACTTCTTGACTACGAGAATCAATTGCTAAATCTTAGAAGTTTAGATCCTAGTTGGAGGTTAGAACTTTCTTGTAACATTTCACAAGTTGTTGTAAACACTTAGGAGAACAGTTTGTTCGGATCCTATAGCGTGGTTAGATAGATAGAGTACCTTTTGATCCCCATTGGTTCATTAGAGAAAAGTCTAAGGACTGAGTAACTTTGAGTGGTGCTATACTTATTGTGAAAAACCTTCAATCTAGGCCTAAGTGTTGTAAAGGCTAGATTGGCACTAAGTGTATTGGGCTTAATACTTTAGCGAAATCCATCTGAAAGAGGGTGGGACTGGACGTTGGCAGATTACACCACCGCTGAACCAGGATACACTGTGTGTTGATTTACATTCATTCAACAAAGCACACACTTAGCACTTCTTACAAAAAGATTGAAGTTTGCCAGCAGAATCCTAAGCAGTTGTCTTAACTGACCCAACTGCTTATCGTACTGGTTAATTACTTACTTTCTTTGAGACCATTTTCACTCAAGAAACATGCACCAATATCACTAAAAGGCCTACTCTATCATTTTCCAAAAATTCATTTTCTAAGTATAGCAGGTGCCTCACCAGTCCCCTAGTGTCCACCCAACTGCTGAGCCCAAGGGCTCGGCCCAACTACGTTTCCATGCTAATCACAATACATGGCAAGGGCTCGGCCCAACTACATTTCCATGCAATCCTGGAGTCCAACTCTACTTTATTTTCATAGTCCAATTCTCAAGCAAATCCTATGCCTAGAATCAATTCACTTGGGTAGCCTTTAGGCCTACCCCTACCACACCTTAGTGTTCGTACAATTCAACCTTAAAGTATCTCTTAAGACTACTTAAGGCATACCCATTTAAAATCCTATCTCTTAGGATTAAATCCATCATTTATTTATTTCAATCTCCGACTAGTATTCCAACACTAGTCGGATAATTCTTAGAACCACCAAGTTCTTAACTCGTAGCCAATTAATTCATCTCAATTGATTTTCCAATCCAAATATAATTTAACCCAAATATCAAAAATATCACTTTTAATCATTCATGAATTTCATACATGAAGCAAAAGTATATTTTATCACAATATTATCATAGTTAATCCCATCATCATACCATCACTTTCATATCACATAATCATACACAATTTACTCTAAATTTGTATATCATGCTTCACTTTTTCACATGCAATAGTATTTTCATTTAGGCATCATTATTCATTAATAATCCATGAAAATCACATTTAATAACTTAGGTAATCTTACGAAATTAACCCAACAATTATAAGCAATATAGTCAGCCATCCTCACCTCGTGATGTGCTACAATAGTTGCCTTTGTTAAGCCCCTCGATCAATCCCCGTTCTAGGCCGATTGAAAGTGAGAAGTTGGATTTCTGGGCCAAAGCCGGGCGGCTTTCACGAAAGCCGGGCGGCTTTCGTGGTCTGCAACTACGACTAGCTCCTTTGAAGTGCCGGTTTCCGGCGATTTCGACTCCTATCGATTCACCAACTCTTCTAAGTTAATTAACACCACTTTATATCAGTATTCTACACTTTTAAACGTGTAGAACTCATGGTTTAATCCACCATATGATTTCTTAAAAATCATACAATAATAAAACTAGTTAAAGATTGTTTATTGAGTTCTCACCTCAAAAACAACCCTCTTCTCTTTGGATTCTCTTCCTTGCTGCTTGGACTATGAGAGGAGACTTCCCTAGAGCTTCTCTCTCTGCCTTGGTCGAGTGGATGATGTCAAATGGAAGGGGGGAGGTATCTATCCTCACTCAAGCCAAAAATAATGAAAAGGTATGGCCAAGGGAGTGGTTGATTGTCTCCAGCCATCCTTTCATTCATAAGTCCGCACAACCCATGTTTATTTGGCTCACTCAGCTCCCAATGTGTCAATTAGATCACACAAAATCGTGGGGTGGCCCCCACTCATGTGGGAGGTCATCCCATTATGTCCCGGTGTGTATAATTGGCCCCGAAAGTTGTATTTCTCAGACTGTTTTAGTTATATTTTATTTTATCGGGCCGGATAAAATGTATCACACGTTTCTAATAGTTATAGGCCTTTAGAATAGGTGTGCATTCCCCAACATAAATTTGGGAGTCACCGAAATTCATTTCGGACTGTTATCCGATAAATTACCAATACCGCTAACTGGGCCTCGTTTGACCCACCGGTCAACCCATGTTCTTCTTATGGCCCAAATAGAATATCCACCACCATATAGATGTCATCTAGACCAAGATGAATATAATATGTGATTCGGGAATTATCGGGCGGTCCCCGTTCCCGCTGTGGGCCCCACATGCAATTTACTATTCACGTAAAAGAAATAATAAAGTTTAACAATTACGTAAATTCATAAATCATCCTTCAAGGTTTACTACATCATTTACTAAAAGTAAACATGCTTGGGGACGGTGCTACAAGTTCACCCCCCCTTAACGGGAATTTCGTCCCCGAAATTCACAACGATTATTCAAACAGAGATGCATACTGATCCTTCATCGAGGCTTCAGTCTCCCAAGTTTCTTCTTCCACTCGGTCACTATTCCAAAGGATTTTAACCATTGGAACT